GTTGAATTTTCTTAATTGAGGAAAATTTATTCAGAAGGTAATCAATACAGTTACTTTTAATTTCAACGTTATTGATAAGTTGTACTTTAGTTTCAGGAATTGTATCAGAAAGCTCAAATTTATGAAGAAAGGGCGAAGGCCAATTTTCTGGTAGATCTAAAAGCCATGGAGGGCCTTTCCACCACAGGTCAGATTTTATTAACTGGTCAGGAAAAAGGCCACGTGAACTACAGTCTGCCGGATTGTACGATGACGGAAGGTCTCTCCAATGAGTAGCGGGTAAGATGTTTTGAATATATGTTACACGGTTGGCAACAAAAGTTTTCCACCGGCTTGGAGAAGCTGCAATCTATGATAGCGTGACTTGAGAATCCGACCACGCTGTAATTGAGTCGATTGTTAGTAATGAAGAGATAGATTTTCTGATATTGTCGAGAACATCAACAAGTAAAACCGCACTGCAAAGTTCGAGCCGTGGGATCGATAACTGTTTAAGAGGAGCTACACGAGCTTTTGCATAAAGAAATGAAGTGGTGACAGATTTATCTTGACCCTGACATCTCAAAAATGCCACTGCGCAATACCCTTTCTGCGAGGCATCATAGAAGGACACACATCCCGCATATAGAAGAAGTAAAAGCTCAATAAAGTCTCTGTCCACAAAACATTATTGTATTTGAGTCATTATTGACCCAGTCTTGGTCGTACAAGGGTTAAATGGTATAATAAAATAATATTCTTACCTATTGTGTGAACGCATGGTGCAATACTTTTTATACCTACATCGCTAACGTCTTGGTTTAACTCCTACAATCAGTATTATTTTTAGTAAAGCAAACATCCACATAAAGAATATCTATGACTTACCTTCATGTATCCAAAAAATATTTAGTATCTTCTTTGAAGTATGAGGAGAAGAAATTCATAGCAGAGATTTTTTAAAGTTAAATAAAACAAAGTGTGTGATTTTTTATGACTCTGGCGCATAAATCATGCTGAATTTGACCGATGACATGGATTATGTTGGCTTGCAGGGCCGACGTTATTTGTGGCTTATTCGCATAGATCTGCAACTTAAGAAAACCCAACATGAAAAATGAAAGTGGTCAAATCATTCGATCTCGGTGGCCAGTTCACATTTCCTCCACGTAAGATGACCCTGCCCTGAAATTGCTTGTGCAGAATGTCCAATGTGACATGAGCTGTGTGGCACGTAGCGCCGCCAAATTAAAATTCGACAAGTTGTGGTCTGCGAAAGACCGAGTTGTTGTTAGCGACGCGAATTCAACTGCCTTGGATTCTCCTGCACACTCTCACGGACAGCGGCGATGTATTCGACAGATCTTGCGTTTCGTCGCCGTACAGGTGTTGGTTTCTTGTTTACTGAACCAGTAGCCTCAAATTTATTCACCACACTGCGAATAGTCCTCTCGGTAGGACGATTACGACGACCGTAAAATGGTGAAGCGTGCGGAACGTTGCCCGAACAGAGAACACCCATTTTGATAAAACAATTTTATCATTTACACGTGTTGTTGAACGCTATATCCGTCCATGATGAGTTGGAAAAACAGATTGAATCTGACAGATGTAGCGTCAGCAATGGCTGCTACCAACTTCAAAGTTCAGAAGTTCCTAATGAAAGACCCTTTATGTAAATCTTTTTCGATCATGTTCAATTTCGGCTCAGTCTTTTTTACACCTATGCCAAATTCGATAATTTTTGCGCCTTCGACGTAAGTCTATTTGAGAAACAGCTTAAATCTTTGTTGGTTAATTTTTTAAAATGCCATTCAATTGATTCTAATTTAAAAATCACTGGCCATTCACTTAGAATTTCGTTGATTGTAGACGGCTTAACAATATCATTAAGGAACTGCGTTTGTGCTGGATAAGTTTGTACAAGTAAATGGAAGAAATCTTCACCAGTATCAACCATATTATTTAAAACGTCCTTATTTGTAGATATGTTCGCATTAGGATCTATATTTGGTTGCCATTGGACACAGTCTGACATAATATTTGTCTTTCTTTTAGACAAGCGCGGAGGAACTAATGGTGAAGAAGAATTGAGTTTGTCGGGTCTTCTTAAATAAGATGCTCGTCTATGATTCTTGACAAATCGGAAAACTAATTTAAATACAAATAAATAAAGCAAAAATGTGTATAAAAAAGATACAAATTACAACATGCCCCCCGCCTTGAAAGGACTGCCTTTCAAAAAAAAAAAATTAGTGAGCATATGGGAGGGGGAAGCGCTAAAGAAAACATATAACAAATTATTTGATTGTCTATATCTAATAGACAATCACCTAAGGTAACAATAACAAAAAAAGTAAATAATATTAAAATTAGTACTAATTTGTCATTGGAAGCGGGCAAAGTTTATTGGTTGGTCGCTTGATAATCCCGTTGGTGGTGCGTACGGTAGCAACTCTTGCAATACCATCGGATCCAGGGTGTAGAGCGATAACGCGACCATATAACCACTTCAATGTTGGTAAGTTGTCATCCTTTACTACAACCAATTCATCAATTTTAAGATTCTCTGTTTTAGTTGACCACTTGGATCGGCGTTGGAGTTCCGAAATGTATTCCTTTGACCAACGCTTCCAAAAGTCTTGCTGAATTCGTTGCGTATATTGATAGTGGGACAGCCGATTTAACTTGACGTGATCCAGGCTTGGATCTGGTGGGGCCGAAAGCGTTCTCCCAATTAAGAAATGCGCAGGAGTTAAGGGTGTTAAATCATTGGGATCCGTGGACAAGGGTGACAAAGGGCGAGAATTTAGGATAGCTTCAATTTGAATCAACAGCGTATAAAATTGTTCAAAGGTAAGTATTGCATTGCCAACGACCCGCTTTAAATGATATTTGGTTGCTTTAACGCCTGCCTCCCATAAACCGCCGAAATGAGGCGAATTAGGGGGAATGAATGACCAATTAATCGACTCATTCTCAATCACATCGGTTAATTGATTGGAACCTTGTAGGAACGTTCCTAACTCGTGAAGCTCGCGATTCGCGCCGACGAAATTGCGAAAAAATCTGAGACGGCTTTCCACGGCGACCAACAAAACGCCGCAGTGCTGCAATAAAACATTCAGAAGTCAAATCCGACACCAATTCAAGGTGTATAGCACGTGTTATAAAGCATACAAATAGACAAATATAGCATTTTGAAGTTTTAGAACCGCGACCTTTCCGATCTTTCAAAAGAAACGGGCCAGCGTAATCGACGCCGGTGGTACTGAACGGAGGTGCTGGAGTAACACGTTGCGATGGTAAATCGCCCATAATAGGCTGCGACACCCGCGGTTTTACTCGAAAACAACGCATGCAATTAAAGATTACCTTTTTGGCAAGATTTCTCCCCCCAATCGGCCAATACCGATCCCGTATTGAAGCTAGTAAATGTTGCGGACCTGCATGAAGAAGTTGTACGTGTTCGTGTTCGAAGATCAACCGCGTTAACACGTGTTTACTATGAAGTAGCATCGGGTGCTTTTTATCAACGTTATAAGACGAATTGCGTAATCGACCGCCTACGCGCATAATACCAGTGTGATCAAGAAATACGTTTAATTTAGTTAGTTCGTTTTTCTGCGGCAAACTGCCCTTGCCACTCAAATGATTGATTTCATCCTGAAATGAGTCTCGTTGACTACATTTGATTAGGTAAATTTGCGCTTCATTCAATTCCGAACATTTTAAAGAACCCGTTCGTTTATCAGATTTATTTGAACAATTATTAATGAACCGCAGACAATATGCTATTACACGTTGTAGCCGAAATAGGGTAGAAAAGCGCGTGAACGGAATAACGCATTCTTCAATTATAGTAGCTTTTAGAACGTTAACCTTTATTTCCGGTAAACTTTCAGAACGAAACGTTCTACGTGGCCATAACGACTCATCTTGCTTTAACCATACAGGACCACACCAATATATTGTTAAATCCGCGAGGGCTCCCGAGTCTATACCGCGTGAAACGGGGTCTGCGGGGTTGTGCTCGGTTGAAACGTAGCGCCAATCAGACGCTCTCGATAAGTCAAGAATTCGCGCAATGCGATTTCCTACGAATGTATGTAATTTACTAGGATCAGTTCCTAGCCATCCTATCAGAACACTAGAGTCCGTCCAGTACACTACTCTTTTAATTTCTAGATTTAAAGCTGTTCTAACTTTATTAACAAGATCGGTAAGTAACAAAGCACCAAGCAGTTCTAATCGCGGAACCGTAGTAGGTTTTATTGGAGCCACTCTGGATTTTGCGCATACTAATTGAACCGAACAATCATTATAAGAATTAGTAGCTCGTAAGTAAACACAAGCTCCGTATGCTTTAATTGATGCATCTGAAAATCCATGTAGTTCAAATTCATTCGCATTTTTTAACGAAATATGACGTGGAATTTCAATGGAATTTAATAGAACTAACATGTCACGAAATTCACACCAACGTGTGTAAATTTGATTTGGAAGTGAAACATCCCAATCCAATCCCTCCTGCCAAATGTGTTGAAGGATAATTTTGGCCCTTATGATAACAGGACTCAATAACCCTAACGGATCGAAGATTTGAGCTATCTCAGAAAGAATAGATCGTTTGGTAACCCGTGTCATAGTTGTGTTTTTGCTAATGTTAAATTTAAAAACATCTTTCTGAGGATCCCACATCAGACCTAACGTACGCGTATTTTCCCTACGTCCCATGTCTATTATATCTTCCGCTCTACTATCTGATACACAACGTAATATTGCGGGATTGTTAGAAACCCATTTATGTAGCTTGAAACCGCCCGCATTCAAAGTTAGTGATACTCCGTCAATAATGTACATAACTTTCTCAACTGAATCCGCTCCCGTAAGAAGGTCGTCTACGTAAAAATGATTCTTAATAACGTTAGCAATCACTGGATCGGAGCTTTCTAAACCTAACTGCTGTAAACAGCGAGTCGGTAGGTAACTTGCTGATGCTGTACCGTAGGTAATAGTGGTTACTCGTAAACCTCTATTGGAAGATTTTCGGAATCGCGCCATAGAATACGTTGGAACCTTAATTGTTCCGTGTTAACGAGGCATGCACGATACATTTTTTGAATATCTGATACTACAACTATGCTATATTGTCTGTACCGGACTAGAGCGCTAAATAGATCTGGTTGGATAGTAGGACCCACAACCTGCAGATCGTTAAAAGAATAACCGGTGGATGTAGAGCACGACGCGTCAAACACTACTCGTAACTTTGTGGTTGCGCTTTTTTCGTTTATAACACCATGGTGGGGTATATAGTAATTATTTTTATCTGATTCCTGCGGTGATACTACCCTACGCATATGGCCTAATTCAGAGTATTCTCGCATGAATTCGCGATATTTATTACCGAATTCTGGTAATCGCTTGAATTTACGCTCCATACTTAGTAAGCGTGTTTTGGCATTGTGGTACGACTCGCCCAATTGATGAAGTTCTCCATCGATTGGAATTGTAACTATGAATCGGCCGTCATCCGTTCGCGAGGTCGTTTCTTGAAAATGTTTCTCACAGAACGCGTCAGATTTCGATAGCGAAATGGGTACGTTCACCGACTCAACTTCCCAAAAACGCGTGAGTTGTTCGTGAAGTTTTGATGACTGTGCGCTTTGAACTAAATTGCACTGGATAGAAGGCACAGCGCTTGTTTGAACCGGGCCCGAAACAATCCACCCGAACCTTGTATTTTGTATAACCGGTCCATCATCTAATTTGATTTGACCTATGCACAACAATTCCCAAAAGTAATCTGCGCCTAGCAACATATCAATACTATTTGGGTTATAAAACTCAGGATCAGCTAAGCGTAGGTGAGCAGGAATCTTTAACGAATTAACATCGATAGCGAACTGAGGCAAATTACTAGTAATTACTGGAAGGACAAGACACGTAACTTGAAGTGAAAAATTAGTACAATGCGAATGTATTTTTAGCAAACATGAACTAGAAATTGTAGATTTAGATTGAGTTATTCCCGTAACGCTGATATTTGTTTTTGTTTCAGGGAGATGCAACCTTTCGCGAAGATCTGTCGTTATGAAGCTACTTTGACTACCTGGATCTAGTAGTGCACGGAATGTGTGTTTTTTATTTCGCCGATCAAATGCATGTAAAGTGACAGTTGATAATAAAGTTTGTACAGTTGTTAATGAACTAGATGTGAGAGTTTGTAATTGTGTTGTTGGTGATTGTTGCGAATCTGAACGATTATATGTGATATGCAGAAGGGTGTGGTGTTTAGATTTACATTGTTTACATAGACCCGACCTACATTGATTAATAAAGTGACCCAATCGAAGACAATTCATACAAAGTTTCAATTTTTTTACTTGCTCTATACGTTTTTGTATGTTAAGTTGAAGAAATTCAGGGCAATGTTGAAGATTATGTTCGGCCTTGCACAAAACACATTTTATTGCATCTATCTGCCTTGAAACTACAAATGATCTAGCTTTAGTAGCTGACTGATGTTTAACTAATGATTTAGACGCCCCTTTATCTTCAAGTGATTCTAATAAATCAGCTCTACCTTTTAAGCAATCCAATAAATCGTCTAATGTGGGTTTATCAATCTGTATTTTTTGATGTTCCCATTCACGGTTTGATTCGAAATCCAATTTAGTGGAAACTAAATATACAATTAATGTGTCCCATTTATCGGTGGGTTCCTTTAATGTGTTTAATGCACGTAAATGTTTGCGAATGTTATCAATTAAAGTGCGTATTACATTCGAGTTAACGGAAGTAATTCTTTCAATTTTAAAAAGTGCCTTAATGTGATTTTGCACTAATATTCGAGGGTTGTTATATCGACTGCAAACTAAATCCCAGGCAACATCATAGTTTGTATTGGTAATTTCTAAACTCGCAATTACTTGTCGAGCTTCACCCGTTAAAGTTGATAACAAATAATGGAATTTTTGAACGTCATTCACAGCATGATTATTATGAATCAATGACTCGAAAATATCGTGAAATTCCAGCCATGATTCGCTATTTCCATTAAATTTAGGTAAATCAATTACCGGTAACTTTACGCATTGCTCCGGAGCAGGACTGACAGTGAGAGAAGAATTGCGAGAATTTTTGCTATTTGTTAATATACGTTTGGCTTCCGCAGTGCTTGCGTAAAAAGCCGTCTCAAAATTTTCGCGTTCTAACGCTTGCACCTCCCCGTCGGCGCTTACTAAATCAATGTTCTCCTGAATGATTTCGAAATCACTAATTAAATTAAGTGCACGATCGTACCGTTGTTCCAACTCAAAAACCCACGTCTGATCGAGACTACCCTTATCATCTAATTTCGATTTAGTAATAAATTTTGAAAAATTAGTTAGCTTGCCTTTGACAATGCCACGTTTTTTTATTAAAGTTTCTATTTCCGACATGATAATACGTAAAATGAACGCAACGCAATTGATTCAAATTTAAGCAAGGGAAAAGGAAATGGAAAAAAAGGATTATATGCTTACGACACGCTCAAACTTAAAGGGGGATGCTTCCGGCCCGTGGATAACGTGTCCCGACGAAAGTTCTTCCGAATTTCCTTTGAATTCCAGCTCACCAAATTTTTCCTGTTTGTGTTGCTTGGCAACCACGACTGATGATAATCTCAAAAACGACGATAATTAATTTAATCCGGCTCGAAGGACCATGTTGAATAATATAACGTATGTTATAGCGCTGGTTAACACTTCTTCGTAACGAATAACGATTTGCTGCCTTTTGTTGTAACGAATTATTTATTGATTATAACGAAGGTACGACACGACTCAAACGACGCTCTTACAAAAATCTTATTTATTAGTGACGCGCTTGTTGTCAACAACAACGAAAACAAAACAAAAACTTCTTATTGCTATGATTCTTGACAAATCGGAAAACTAATTTAAATACAAATAAATAAAGCAAAAATGTGTATAAAAAAGGTACAAATTACAACACGGAACATCAACGAATATTTTACGCACATTTCAAAACCTTTGAAGGTATAGCTTCTTTTACTTCCTTTAGTTCATTCATAACTGTATGCACAATATCAGTTGTTATACTTTTCTTTCTTTCGCCTTTAGCACATATATCCAGCATGTCCGTTGAAATAAGTGCTCAGTATTTGCAACCACATTTACATTTTTCATTTCGCCGTAAATGGAGTTACTCCGATTACTATTTTCACAGGTTAGAAGGCGACATATCCAAATCAGACGTAAGTGATGCTTGCAGGGAAATACTATTTTCATTTGTAGATTCTACTCAGATGGGGATCCCCTGTTCACTTTCTTCCAAAAGAATTAACGTTTCATTTTGTAATAACCTCAATACTTCACTATCGTCTATCAAAGTACCATCCGACTCTAATACAAGAACTTTTTCATGAATTTGAACTTTCTGAGATGCTGGAAACAGTAATTACATAAAGCAAGTTTAGGTACATGTGTAGCGGTTTTTATTTTCATTTTTCGTAATTTCATTGTTTTCATAATTTAACACCATCTATGGTTGATTTGACGTAAGATTCGATGCATTATTAGTGATTTTTATTATGTTATGATTGATTGGGGTGGAGGATTTATTTCCGTTTAGATATTGTTTTCGTGGTTACAAGTGGTTTAACTAGTCGTCTTCGAACCGTTGTGTCTTTGGGTTCGATTGAGGCGTCTGATTTTTAAATGGGCTGATACCACGTTTTTGAGATAAGAGTGTCTTAAAAGAGTTTTGCATCGGTGTTTTGGCAAGATTTTTCTACTTTGTCAGCAATCTTGGACTTGTTGCCAAGTGCGTTTTATTGGGTCAATATATCGCTTGATTAAATTTTGATTGGTTGAAAATGATGAGACCATCGGTTGGGAAATGCAAGTTCGATAGAATAATGTTAAATTAGGATTAGATCGATTTAAGTGGTAAAATCGAAAGCACTGTTGGGAAGCACACAACAATAAATATATTTAGTTATACCAGTTGTTTCAATCACCAACCCAAAAACGGAACTTAGCCACCATAAGTTCCAACAAAGTGGTGTCAGGTGTGGGGTAGTGATTGAAGAAAAGACAACCATATAACAACAAAACTTAAACCGCTGGAGCAAATAGCGATAGTCATAAAAAACAAAGGGTAAACAACGAGCAGCTAACGAACAAAAAATTCGAGTTCAACCGATCATCCCTTGGGACCGTTACCAGTGCCAGTTTAAGTGTCTGTGAAAAGCAGTGAAAAGTGCGAGCATAGCAGTGAACCATCGCTGGATCGTCTCTGAATTGTCTATGGATAGTCTCTGAATTGTCTATGGATAGTCTCTGAATTGTCTCTGGATCGTCTCTGAGTCGTCCCTGGATCGTCTTAATCGCGTAAATCGACTCTTATTTCTAGTCTTATTTCTTCATGTAACTTTATATGTCCGGAGAGAACGATAACTCCCTTCCTAAAGCCGATTTACTCGTATTAGAAGTAATCGATCAAAAATCATGCCTCTCCAAGTAGACATAGCACCAAAGATGATACCAGAATTTCGTGGTAGTTGCGAAGAACTTCATAAATTTATCGCGTGTTGCGACATCGTTTGCGCCACATGTACCACACGTGCGGATAAAGAATTGTTATTGAGCGTAATTAAAACAAAGCTGTCCGGTAATGCATACAATTTAATAAAGTGTAAAACATTTGCATCGTGGGAAGACCTTAAAGTAATATTACAAGAGCAGTATCGTGAAAAAAGAACCCTAGCGGAAATTCAAACCGAACTTAAATTCGAAACAGCAACCGGGGAGGACATTAGATCATTCGCGAATCGATTGGAAAGGTTAAGTTTAGATTTAACTGATGCTTGTATCGCTAGTCATTGGTAAGAATCTGCAGATATTATACAAAATTAAAATGCAAAAGCAGTATTGAGCGCATTTGTAGAGGGATTGCATGGATCAATTAAACTTATAATTAAAGTGAGTAGGTTTAGTAAGTTTAAGGAAGCTGTAGAAGCCGCGGTAGAGGAAGCACGCGTAAACAAAAGTTCAAAACCAGTAAATTATTCGAATTTGCAAAATTCCAAAGCCACAAAGAAATGCTACAACCGTGGAAAGCCCAATCATATAGCTGCCAACTGCTGTTCAAATCTCTCTTTGCTTTTCCCAAATATCCTAGTTCGAATTCACAGTAACCGGAAGTCAAACGAGAATTTCAGATCAATCATGCCGCAATTATTTATCGATATTGCAAAAACCTAGGGCATACAATCGATCAGTGGAAAAAACGGCAATTTAATAACGCACGACGTCAGAATAACGGGTTTCCGGTTACTAATTCTAATTCTTCAACATCGTTGCCGCAGAATACTTCTGCACCAGGTCCATCCGGAGTTAATCAACATCATAACATTCAGAATTCGGGAAACGCGTCGGGTCGAGTCGCGTCTGGCAGTGTGATTCGAGCGCAAGATCTCAAAACTGCCTAGAAATCAATGACACATGTAACATTTCTAACTCCGAATCCGCCTCTGTCTCTGCATTTAGCGCTAATTTTAATTCTAACTTCAATTTCGCTGAATCTGCTAATTCCATTCAAACAGACAGTTGTCTCCGTCTGTTGTAACTATTCCACTCGACATAGCCACAAACAAGGTCGCTAATCGTTTATTAGACACGAGTTCTGATATCACTGTTTTAAAACTCAATCGCACCGACGATAACTCGTTCGTTGACACAAATAATAAACTCCGACTTAAAGGTATAACCGATGAAAGTTGTAACTTCCTTGGGTTCTTGTGAAGCTAAATTTATCTTAAATCACTCAGTTTCGCCTACGCATACGATTCATATCGTCCCTGATAATTTTCCATTATCCTACGATGGTATCTTAGGAAAAGATTGTGTAATAAAATTCCAAGCCATTATTAATTATTCAATCTCGATGCTAACATTCAAAGTAGATGATAAAATATGTTCGTTTAAAGTTTCAACTGTCGATTTGGTCAACATACCGGCTCGCACCGAATCCAGAGTTTTGATCCCTACTAATTGTAACGGACCTCAGTTATGTCTCCAAAAGGAGCTGAGTCCAGGCGTAATAATTGGTAACTCAATCACATCTCCTCAAAACGGATTTTGTCCGGTCACTATATTAAATTCAACAGAAATTCCGATGGAAGTAAATGTACAGCAAATAGAATTCGCCAATTTAGATAATTATGATATCCTAGAATTTCAAAACGATACTAGTTATTCGCGAATTAGACAGATAGAAGCTAAAATCTATATGGAGCACCTAAATGTTGAAGAACGCAATTCACTTTTAAACATCTGCATAGAATTTTCCAATTTGTTCTACTTAAAAGGTGACATTTTAACCCATACCGACGCAATAAAGCTACAATTCCTCTAACTACAAACAAGCCAATATTTGTTCGACCATACCGATTGCCAGAATCTCAAAAAGACGAGCTCAAGTCCCAAATTCAAAAAATACTTTCGGAAAACATTAGTGAAAATAGCAAATCACCATATAATTTTCCAATTTTAGTGGTTCCCAAAAAAGCGGACAACAACGGTCAAAAATGTTGGAGACTTGTAGTTGATTTTAGGAAATTAAACGATGTAACCGAATCCGATGCGTATCCGTTACCCAACATCACCGAAATTCTGGATCAACTAGGCAGATCTAAATATTTTTCAGTAATTGACTTAGCTTCCGGATTTCATCAGATTCCACTTGATGAAGCTAGTCGGCATCTCACGGCTTTTTCCTTTGAAGGTCATTACCAATATAAACGTCTTCCAATAGGGTTAAAAGGATCTCCAGCCACCTTTCAACGACTCATGAGCAATGTACTTACGGGCCTACAAGATATTAAGTGTTTCGTGTATCTAGACAACTTACAAGAGCATAATTCCAGATTAATAGAAATTTTCTAACGATTATGCGAAAATAATCGCAAATTACAACCTAACAAATGCACATTTCTTCGAAAAGAGGTTACTCTGGGACATATAATTTCAGAAGAAGGAATTAAACCTGATCCTAGCAAAATAGAATCTATTGTGAATTTTCCGATTCCTTCAAATCAAACTCAATTACAATCGTTTCTAGGTCTGGCATCGTACTATCGCAGATTTATTAAGAATTTCTCAGTACTAGCACAAGCTCTTTATAAATTACTTAAGAAAAACGCCAAGTTCGATTTTAACGCAGCTTATCATCAATTAAAAGAGAAATTAACATAACCGCCCTCCTGCAATATCCAGATTTCTCTCGTGAGTTCATTTTAACAACCGATGCAAATCAATATGCTAACCAGGAAAACAAAACACAATTGCAGATACTTTATCTAGAATATGTCATATCGAAAACGGGAATTCAAATGATGATTATAAAGAGTATTTGGCATATTCTCAACGTCATG